CGCTCCACGCTCGCCTGAGATCGCCCGGGACAGAAGAGAGTCAGGAGAGAGTTACTGCCATCGTCACAAATTGCGCTCTTCAACGTCAAACTACGGGAAATGATTGTGTGTTCTTGTTGAAATGCTTGCAAATAACTCCGCAGTGTTTTTGTTTTCCCGAAGTTCACTTGAACAGATGAGAGGATAGACGATTTAAACTGTTCATTCGCCAAAATATTCTCTGCAAGACTGTCAGCGTTTGTACAAATAAGACATTAGTTTCTTGGTGGCTCGTTCGCGTATTGTTTGTCCTCTACTTTAATTTCCACTGTTGATATATAGTCGTTTGAGTTGGTTCGCCCATTCTCTCCATTGAGTTTGCTTCATTTTTTTCGAGTTAATTTTGTGGATCTTTAAAAAATATTAATTCCAAGTAGCTGGCGAATTATTATTAAAAGTACAACGATAAATGTTCTTGATTATTTGGCCGTGTTGATTGGTTTGCCAATCTTCAGTACTCATCGCTTCATTTGCCTGTTGTTGTTGTTGTTGTTGTCGGTGGTTTTTAGGAGGGGCTTGGGGGATATTTTCGAGATGGCTTGTGAGTTATTATTATAACTATAAGGATGACTGTGTTTTAGTTTTGCATCATGTCTGGATGAGTCAACCACGCTGGTAAAATGACTTCAAGGAAACCATTGAATGCCTATTAATAGAACGGGATAACCAGTGAAGCAGTGTTGACATACGTCATGTGAATTACACCTCAGGGAGGCATCAGTAGAAACAAAAACAACACATATAAAACGAATATTGAGTGCGACTGTGTGTTGCCAGAATGCCTCGAAGATAAAGACAAACTGTAGAAGCGTATCAGGAAAAACGATCTTGTCAAATTTGACGAGTCAAGACGGATTAAAACTGCAGGGCAAAAAAAAAAGATAAATGTATGTGTGTCAATAGCTGTACCAATGTAATAACACGCACAGGCCATATAGAATGCAGTGACAAAATGTACATAGAGAGCTGGCTAACTCGCTTGGAACGTTACACCACGCACAATCAATCACGCATTACATCGTAAGAAGAGTGTCTGTGTCACACAGATAATGATCGAGGTTGGCACAGATTTAGAAATGTCCACAACGTCGCCCAACTAATGACCACAAAATTAATGATCACATTATGGAATCGTTAAGGAAGTCTGCGGTTGGAATTTTCTCCTGCAAATTTAAAGGAGATCGAGAATGGTTGTTTGATATACGCCACCTAATAAGGCGTACTTGATATGTAATGTGATATATCAATCCGTTCTCTCCCTATACTCGCTTCAGCAAATGAGGGGGAAAAGGCTTTTTGAAAACCGAACAGGTCCAAACACCGAGGAGATTGTATGAAACAGAAACACATTTTCGTTTTTCTTCTCTTAAAATTGCAATAAATTAGTCCGATCTTTTAGCGTTTGTGTCTTGAATATCAACTCTGATTCTACACTCTTAAAAGTCCCGGGTCAGAATTGACCAGGAAAAGGGTCTTGTGGGGCCCGACCCTTTTTCGGGTCAAAAATGACTCTTTTCTGGGTCAAAATTACACTGTGTGACTCGTCTTCCGGGTCAAAGTGTCATTTTTGACCTGGAAAAGGGTAATTTTTGTCCCTGAAAAGGGTCAGGCCCCACATAACCCTTTTCCGGGTCAAATCTGTCCCGGGACTTTTTAGAGTGTATAGTTGAAATGCCTCCGTTTGGACTTTGTGCGGGTTAGGTTTACAATCTTTCAACCTCCATCTTTCATTATCCGCGATAATCACCTTTTCAGGAACTTACTTTTTTTCATATTACTGACACCATTAATAATGTACTTGCTCTCACTAGAAATGTGTCCATGGGTATTCGTATGCGTAAAAGCTACCAGCCCCGTCTCACCTTTAGACAGGCGTACCGTACAATGGCGTTAACCTGTTGACTGTTTTCCGATTGTGGACAAAACGAATACTCGTGAATATTCCAATAATTAGATGGGTGCAATTCTGGGCTTTAGAAACTATCTGGGATTATACATCGTTGTTAGGCAGTAAATGCTTGTGTTCATTAGCCGGATGAGTTCCAGTCGCAGGGACAATTATTCCTTATAGGGTGTCATGAACAGGCTACCGTAGACGTGTAAGTACATAGTGATCGAAGAGTTTGGAATTTTGCTAACTTTCTTTTTTGCTCCTTTAGGCGATAAAATAGGAAATAGCCGTAATAGCATGTGTCAGCTTTAGGTATCAATACAAATTAGATGTTCCTATTTTCCGTGATCAGTTTGCTTCGCCGTGACGAAATTACTTGAATGTGAAATGCACATACTCCCGTATGATTTCGTCAGGATTTTCCTTCATTCGCAGTCCGTACGAGTTTGGTCCAAAGATGTAATCCGTGCTGCATAATGCAGTCTATAGGCACACAAACATCCCCCACAATCCATCACCCAACATGCGGTTGGTTTTGTAAGACGCTGAACTTGATGCTCAGCCCACTCTGTTTTTTTCACGCAAGCTTATCCCTCAACCACGTGGGCGAGTCTATAGTCCACAGGTGTTCCGAGATCGAAATTGAAATTGTCAGTAAATGGTGTGTTTCAGTGGACAGGTCAATTCAATGACGTTTCATGCACGTCAGTTGTGTTCGATAACCGACACTGTAATGACGCGGCGCAATATCCTCAGATAAGATTTACAAATTATGAAACCTTTAAAAATGGCCGCCATATTTCCTTCCAATTCCGCAATATGATACAAACACTGTTTTTGCAAGGAAAGACTTCCTGATCCCTCAATAAACATAATTAGGCGGTATTAATATTTACTTGCGCCTCTACTCTTGTGAAAATTGCAGCACAATAACAGGTCCATTGTGCCGAATGTTGAATTTTGTGGCCATTTTGAAAATGGCAGCCATGTTTCCCGCCAATTTCGCAATAAAGGCTATTGTTACAATTAGACTGCCCCCGATTCCTCAATAAACATATCTGGATGACAGTGAGATTCTTTTCTACCCTTTAGCTTTCCCTAAAGTGCATTGCAATGGTAGGTTCCTGGTTCCAAATGTGGTATTTGGCGGCCATTTTTCAAAATGGCCGCCACGAACGACTGAGGACGTTTTTAGAGTGGCTCTACTTCTCAAAACATTATACTCAGACCATAGTCCTGAACTGTGCCAAAATTCATGGTTGTACTTAAAAAGGCCCATTTTTTTCACAAATCTGCCTTACTATAAACAATTATTGCCACAAGACGGCGACAAGGGTCGAGTATAAACAAAGCTTGCACGACCTATCATTTTCGGTCATTTTTTGTCAAAAGCTTTGTTGGATATCGGGAAGTTTTGAGAGGAAAAGAGGCAAAGGGTTTGTCATACAGTAGTTCGAGTTTACTGCTTTGACTACCATGGACTGAAAATGTAAGATCGCAAAGAACAAAATTAGCAAGCATGACTTGTATTCTTTATTGTTGGTAATGAATTCGACACAAACCCCGCAGGTTCGTCCAGCTATCCAATAACTGGTTAAGATTCAGTTATTCATGGCCTAGTGATACCTTGATCCACACTCATCTCCGTACCCCTCTTTCTCTCAAGAACTTTCCGAATCCGCATGGCGGCGGGGATATATCGAGCTCATTGATTTGCTGATTTCTCTATACGAGACTGTGCACGACCAATCATTAATCATGGAAGATCACCGTCCCGTCGATCTCAACGTTAATTGACTGATAAAGCCCGAACTCATATATCGGTCGAGATAACATGTACTTGCTCAGACTTCATCTCTCCCGCTCTCCATGTCGCGCACTTTGCTTTGAAAAGACCAGAAGTTAAGCATCGTCCATCGGAAATTAGTACATATGAAAAAGACGATACTTCGGAAGAATAATTATTTGAGGATGCCGATGTCTCAATTTGAAATGAACAGTACGCCCGGGAGTGATAAATTTTGCCAGTGGCTTGTTGCACCCGGCCTGGACATGTCGCATGTCTTTCGTCATGTTTGAGGCGTTAAGTAATCGGTAAAAATAGACAAGCCGCCATCCCAAAGACTAGCGTCTCTCAATTCTCTACAATTAGGCTAACTACTAGCATCTTGTATTCCGTAAAATTACATACCACATCACTTGCTGTTAGGCCTATAGTACTTTAATGCATTCCGACGATTCCGATGCGCAAAATAACAGCAATACCGTACATTTTGACAATCTCGATACCGCCCAGTCTTTCCGCTTGGCCACGTCTCGGTTTTGAGCCAATTATCAAATGAGAAATATGCTCATGGTTTGGCGCAAACAGAAATCGAGCAAATTGCTCAAGAGTTTTTAGTTATTCACGTTTAAGCTTCTAAACCAAAAGTGTAATGACCAAACTATTACTCCGCAAAATACTCTGGTCATAACAAAACTAATTGCACATGACCCCCTTAGATCGGTTTAGCAGTCTGTCGTACACGATTGCCAAAAAAGTTACCCAATCCCCGAACACTTCATTTTAATAAATCTGTTTCTATGTAATTTCTTTTAAAATGTATTGTATAATTTTATTTGTTTTGTAGCCACTGGTATTGGAATTAATATATGGCCACATGTATTAAGTTAGCTTTTTTCAATTCCTGGTATTTGCCGCTGGCTTTTGTCGGTTATAATTGTATTGTACCAAGATGTATATTAATGTGTGTGTTTTAATGCCGAATGAATGATAATAATAATAATAAGAAGAAGAATATTTGAAATTTAAACATCTACTGTGCCAGAGTTCGCGCTTAAAACGGGCGATTTCTACAAATGGGTGTCGGTATACACCGTTAGGCCTATTCTTTATATTACCAATTAAATATTTATAGTACATTAACCATTACAAGATTAAAGAACTGATGTTACGTTGATAAGTTTTAAGTAAGGTGAACCACTAACGATCGCAACAAACGAGAGAAGAACAAAAACCCAGCAAATTTATGCACAAAACCACCTCGCGTATTATAATCTGTGCATGCTGAATGTTTGTTCAACTTATAATTTTTTCCCCGTATTTCAAATTTATCATACACATGCACGGACATTCATTTGTTTTAAGCATAGATTTGTAAATGTTCACGCTTATGGGTGTTGAAATGCATCATGGGAGGCTTCTTGCATGGTTGGGTTAAAAGCGAGGCAACAGATACGCTTGAGTCACCTGTTTGGGTTCTTAATGTGTAATAACTTATCAGCTTCACATGATAACGACGCCAATAGGTCCTTGTTTTACAACCTCGCTTTTGTTCCAACGATTTCGTGCAAAGACCGAATTGAGACCCCAAATGAAAGACAGAAACAATTCTAGACCGTGGGTTCAGTATTTGCCTGTGCTAACCCAAACCCAACCAGATGCTGGTTTGCATTTCACATACTTGAGGTTATTTCTGTGTAGTTTGTCTTGGTACTGTTCATGAAGCTATTGGAGCGGAGTGTAGTCATGTTGGTACGCCGCTCTGTGGTCCTAGAGCCTGGCTCCCGGTAGCAGATACATCGCATCAGCATTCTCTGATGGGTGGAGCTCATGATGAACACGATCCATGGGTTGAAGCATGAGTTGATCAAAGCGGCGAAGAAACGCAGCTCTTCGTATATATGGTCTTTGTCACTTATAGTGTCGCATGATACGGCGAACTGATAGTACATGTTGTAGATGTAGCAGGGCATCCAAAAGACACCAAAGAAAACAGCGATGACGAGAACGATGATGGCCAGCCGTCTCCTGGCGCGGAACTGCTTAGCTCCGGGCTGATTCTCACCTCGGAAACTATCCGCACTTCGGATCAGCGTGTGGGCCATTCGTGAATAGAGAATCGTGATGACCAGCAAGGGCACGATATAATGACAGACCAAAAGCACGGTGACGTAGCCCTTGGCCACTGGCGTGAAATGTGGCAGGTACGTGCATATGAAGCCTCCGTGCAAGGAAGCCGTTGCGTAAACTGGGACAGCTATGACCAGAGAAGCCAGCCAGACTAGCCCAATCAAGAAGCCGGTTTTCCTAGCAGAGCCTCTGAACAAGCTGCGGCCTAGATGCTGGGTGATAGCTCCGTAACGCTCGCAGGAGACAGCCATGATCGAGAAGATACACACGCCCTGCGCCAGTACCTGCCAAGCGCTTGCAAACTTGCATAGCGGCTCACTGTCGGGGAAACAGAACGCCACTTGATACTCGAGTCTGGTAGGCACGACCACTATAAGGTACATCAGGTCTCCCAACGTAACATTGATGACTAGCATGTTGGGTGTGGTCCTCAGGGGCCTGTTCTTGAGGATGACAGTCAGAAGAGCCACGTTGCCTACCACGCCAGTCAAGACGACGATGTACATGAAGATGTTCAGGGGTGACCCTAGCATTTCGTATGCTCGCATACTGCAATACGCCTCCAGTACACTTTGATTGATGCCGCTAAGAAACGCGTTGCAGTCGCCTTCTTCATCATCATTGTTTATACTGATCAGCGTCTCTATCGTGGTGTTATCCATCACTGCAGAAAATCTGCAAGAACAAATGATAAACCAATCGGTCAATCAACTTCGCTCGACTGGTACTACTGTGAGGCTGAAATTAGCAGATATAGCTGAGCACTCGATAGACAATTCTTGAAACGAAAATTTGACGACGTTTTAAAGCCCTAAAACGTGAACACATTTATCAGAGTTTTACATGCGCATTGGCCTCTTCCCATGCGTCATCCACAAAGGCAGGGGACGTACTGAATGTATCTCGTGTCAGCTGGTTCATTTTTAAGGTAATTCAGCCCAAAATACGCCGGAACCTGTTAAGTTTCTATTTACTCATATAATGACAAAGTGTCTTGCCCAAGGACATTTACACCATGATCACTTGCTTGAACTTGAACCAGCCATTTGTAGAATCATCTATAAATCTCCATTTCGACGGACCCACACGAACATAACATAGTGCAGGCCTATCATTAATTTTTATACGACTGTTAAATTTAAGAAATAAACGAAACCTGAAAACAATGTACGAGTAAAGTCGGATTTTACGCGTCTCGATGAACCCATCTGATGTTCAGAAATTCATTAAATATTTCGAAACACTCAGCAGTTCTACGGCATGATGTGGGAATTTCATTAATTTACCAATGCATGCAAACCAATAACACTGGAAACAACAATGACAAATACGTAAAGAAAACATAAAAACATTAATTACAAGGAGAAGATAGATTCAGCGCAGAATACATGCGATAGCAATATAATTTATGGTCAATGAATAAAGTGCAGTGACTATAGATGAAGTGCACATTGAACCTGGCGCGCGATAGCATCATCACAGATACCAAGTGTTAGATATCACTATATCTGATATCACTCCGCGTGGCTAGCTTGACTCCCATGTCAACAGGACACGTGTTACGTCGTGACTTGGTAAGAATCGTATTGGCTTTCACTTTTTAGTACACACTATATGTTTATTACCCTTGACCTGGTCCTTTTGGTCACCGACCTGCCAAGAATTTTACTGCTCAAACCTTATTGAATTTATACCGACGGATTCAAATAACTTTTTTTGGCGGAAAGAATGGGTCATCACATTTCCTAAAGTTAACATAATAATTATTAGCGGGAGGGTATAGGCTTTAATGCTTCCAGTATTTTAATCTGAACATCCGCTCAGTTTTTAAAATACCCAAACGGCTTTATGAATCACGGTCTCTGAGAGATCTTTCAAAGATCTTTAACTGAAAACTTATCTTTGTCCGATGATGTAGGCCTATTTTATGTGTTGATTCGGTTTTAGTTATCTAGTCCAGTATGACATAGTATGGATTTCCAACAGATGTTAATATATAATTTCAATATCTGCAAATTTTGTTTTAAAACGAAATTAGCTTTGAAATATTCTCTGTATGCCTTTTTGATATCTTAAAGATTATACTGATTTAATTTCAGCTTGGTCCTTGAAATCAAAACATGCACTATTCACTGTATATCCAGTTTCTAAATGTTTAATGTCTTCTTTCTTAATTCAGAGATAATGAATTGGGAGGCCGAGATAAAATTCCAAGTGTACACTGATACCTCATTCTTGTTTATCATAAATGTATGTATTGGCTCACTTCTTCGAGAGTTAAATAATGAGCCTGCGGCTTGTGTCATCCAATATTGTGTTTAATATCAAATTAAGCACGAAATGTAATTTAAACTGAAAAAAAGAAGGTATAATTAAGGTGTATAGTATAGGCCGTATTACAAGACATTGCTCGGACTTTAGGAAGCAGCAGAAAAGTCAAGCTGGGTCCAGGCAAGCTTCCAAGAGCTTCGAAGCGGTGAGCTAAGTCTCTTCCTCTCCAGGAGAAGAGGAAAAAAAGACGGATTTTTTTTGGGTGAGCGTCTGATTTGCATAAACCAGTGTCGTCTTCCAGTCCCCCAGGGGCCGACTAGCGCGAAAGTCCCCAACTTCCTCCCTGAGATTGCACTTAAATCACGGCCTAAATGGGTTGCAGCGAGCCGCTGCTCATCATTTATACCGTTTGTACCCGGACGCGGCCACTTGCTCGCACGGAAAAGGTGTAATTTTAAGCCGTCGTTCCTTGCGGCAGTCAAGACAGAAATAAATTTTTGTTCTGGCTGATAGATATATTTAGAAGTACCTAAATGAACGAAAACAACTTACATAAAGAGTAATGTTTAGAACTATAGCATATACCCTTTGGGGAAAAAATGTAATAAAACTTGAAATGATATATTTCGGCGGATGCGGATTATATATTTTCTTATTGTGCATGATGTGAGTATTAACGCTGAATTTTGTTTTCCACAGTGGGGTACTTTTCATTATGTGCAAAAAACAAGAATTCAGGAAGTTTAATAGAACCTAAATTATAACGTATGTCTGTCACTTGTCTGTCTGTCCATAGGCTGGGGAACAAAAGCTGATGCTTCACCCCGGACCTAGATGCTGCCATTTAGTTAATGTTCACTATTGTAAATATACCTATGTTCATGTATTGTTAATTTAAATATATAACATTATGTATCGTCCTTTATGCAGCATCGAAATAAATGTATCTATCACATCACATCCATATTGAGGGTTTTTTTTTGCTCTTGGATGTACAAAACTAAAATATTAACGAATTTATAATTAAATCTCCCAGACTATTAGAAATTTATATTAAAAAAAACGATTGACGGGAATGTCATTTTGATTTTATCACGAATGAAAAAAGCGATGTACATATTTAAACTAAAATATCAACGGATTTCGCCCTGTGAACGTTTAGGTTAAGTGAGTATCGAGGCCTATGGCAACAAACTTCAACAAGAAGATTCTCCAGCCGTCGCTTCATAATTCAAGAAGACTAACATCCCTTTAGTTCAAACTTTTCCTCAAACTTTTCTTTCAAATGGCATGTCTGAAAAACAGTGTAAGGTCGCGGAAAGCCTGCATGTCCAAAAATGGTTGCGTTTCAAATGGGGCCCAAGGGTCTCCTGTTGACTTTCAATTCAAAAACTGCCGAGCCACGAATCAAAGATCGTATGACATGTATGTGGTTCAGGTAAGTAATGGTCCCTCGACCTACATCCATCGGTCCTTCGTCCAATCCGAGTGAGTAGTGGCAGAGTGGACTGTTCATGTCCCTCCAGCTCCCTCAACTGAAATACTTCATTTCCTGATCGCGCATTTTGAAAAGCTTGCATAGTGAATTGCTCTGCAGTATAATTATATAGGGCAAAACCAAACCGTGGATGATTTCTATACCGGTCGAAATCGATTTTTGAATTCAATTTCATGGTCTATGAAATGCACCCCATTGACATGTTTTTCTGCTTCTTCTACCAGAGTTCCTGATATAAATATGAGTGGCGTGAACGCGAACGTGCACGTCACGGGAACGAGACGTCAGATATGGGACATCAGGAAAGCTATAACAATTTACTTGTATAATGCCTAGAGCCTTCGATATAATTGTCAAGAAACGTGGCTTAATACTAGTGTGCGCTTTGGGAATTTACTCGGAGCTTCCAAACTTATCATCAGAATACCAACTTGTTTGTTTTACTGACTTATTTATTTTCAAACATGGTGGCCTCATCAGTTAAAAAGTGATGTTCCTATAAGGGCCCTGTACAAATAATTACAATTTTTAAACAAAATTAATTTCAATTAAAATGTATTATAAACAAATAAAAACGACTACGTGAACTACAAAATATAAGTAGAATTCAAATCAACACAAAGAGTATAAAAGAAACTGCTATTCTGATAAACTCAAACAGGAACATTTTATTTTGAAATAACATTAGGCCCTACAAAGAAACATTAACACGCATGATAACATGCGTAGATGCTTGTAGAGTTCAAACATCTGGCAATAAACTGAGTGATGTTATGTCTTTGAAAAAACAAACAGAGTACATTTCACAGAATAATGGCTGCTGGCCAGATGGCCGTTTGAGCTTTCAGTGAAATGTAATGATATTAGGTAACAGCAGTGCCGACAATAAAACACGAGCAAGTCATGATAAAGCGAGGATAACTTGGGATAGTCATGATATATAATTACAATGACATCATATTGATTGCAATGCTTTTATAAATCAAATCAAACATTTTGGCGGTTTTTCCGTTGTAGTTGTAGAGCTCACCATGTTTGTACCACATATTGATGTACTACATAAAAAAATTAAAACACACGTACTTGGGTTGCAAATACCGTGTTTAAGGACTGTAATTAAGTGCAACCCCTTAATTGCACGAATGATCCCCATCAATTAACTGACAAAATCATCCACACAGGAGAAACAGAATCACACGGAAGCCTTTTTTAAATTATGAATGATTGAATCTGAGCCTAACATCAATCATAATCTAAGCCTCAATTAACTTCAAAGGTGCAGTTTTGGAGTCAAATTACGCTGATGAGTAAAATAATTTTTGACAGGTGTAACTTCTGCTCATTTCAGAGTTTTGAGCTATCAATTATGACGACAGGTGTTTTTTTTCCCCAATCGAGCATCATTTTAACATTTCGGATTAAGCGTAAAGATGCAATTGAAAGCTCTGTTATTTAGAAAAGCCTTCAGAACCTGTGCTCACGATCCTTCGCAACTCAAAACAGCAAAACAGTCCGCACGTTAGTCTCGCTACTGTGTGTTCAATTCGCACAAACTGGGGAACGCCAAAAATGTCGGTTTCTGCCTGTTGTATTTCAAAAGGTTAATCTCAACTTCAACATTGCAAGATTTAAGCTGACAAAACAACGATATTCAATTTACAACGCGTGGTAGGTTAAGTTGTAATAAACGCCAAATGGAGATTTCATTTGGTAATAAACATCGTAGGTTTACAGTGAGACATTTTTTTTAATTTTTTTTTTTACGAGTACTCCCAGATGGCAGATAAACGCCGGCCTGATGGGTCATAATATTGGCTCGTGACGGACTTTCCTTTTTTTTTTACCTTATGGCAGGGTAAATGTTGCTTTAAAAAAAATCACTGTTGATCAATAAATGATAGA